AACTAATAGTAAAGTAATCATGCTTCTTACCTAAAGGGAAAAACAGCTCAGTTGATCTCTCTGAATATTCTTTTCCTACTAGTTAGTTCTTCTACCTGGCACACTCTTCTCCTAGATAGTCCCATAGCTTATACCCCTGCTTCCTTTAAATCTCTATGCAACAGTCCAAGCCCTAAGCATGCTTTATTTTTCTCTATGGTGTTTACCACTTTCTAACATACTATATAATTTATTTATCATGTACATATCTTATCTTCCTTAGCATTTAAGATCCACTGGGGCACTGATTTTTGTTCTGCTATTTCTATTCTCAGCATCTAGAGTAGGGCCTATTACAAAATAGGTATTCCATAAATACAGGTTGTAAGATGTCTGCTACTTTTTAAGTGTAACAAAGTATCCTCCCATCAAAGATTTGATACTCTTTTCTGTTTTATTCTGGGGTTTTTTTGTGTGTATAGCTTGGATTTTAATATTTAGGTCCTTACTAACCAGGCATTTGTTATACAGTTATTTTTTTCAAAATTACTAAATATTTACTCCACCATTACTTATTAAATAAGCCTATCTCACTTTTTAAAAAAAGTTTCATTTTATTGTTTAAAGTATTATCTATAGTATTACAAATGTCTCCTTTTCCCTCCATTGACCTCCCCCTGGGGCCAACGTCACCCCTGGCACAGGTCCTTACCACCCTAGTGTGTGTCCATTGGTTATGCTTATATGCATGCATACAAGTCCTTTGGTTGATCTCTTACCCCCATCCTCCAAGTTTGACAGTCTGTTCAATGCTTTTTTGTCTCTGTATCTATTTTTGTTCATCAGTTTATAACGTTCATTATATTCCACAAATGAGTGCCTATCTCACTTTTTAAAACTTAACTAGTTGTTATGAGACTACTTTGCCAACTAAGTACTTCTTTCCCTTTCTTCCCTATAAGTGAGTCTCTGAGCATAATTAACTGTAAGATAAATTTAAGATTTGAATAAGATTTGTGTAACTGAGCTAAAAAAAAAGAATTTTGATAAAATATTTTACAAATATAATCTTAGCTGCAAGGTATCCAGTCATTATGTAAATAGTGAATAGTTAAGAGGAAGGGAAAATAATGACAATCCACGAACTAAAACTTGTTTAGTTTAATATTAATAAACTTATAGGGTAAGATTATTATCCCTAATTGACAAAAGAGAATGCTCAAGTTTAGAGATTACTGACATGCCCATGTCCAACAACTAACATGTGATAGAACCAGGATTTACATACAAGTCTGGCCAGCTGCAAACCCCATGTTTTTCCCACTATACTCGTGGTTTTCAATGGCGGCAATTTTGTTCCCTACCTACCAGTGAATATGTGGCAGTTTGGAGACATTTTTTATTGTCATTTAATGGGGGTAAGGATTGCTATAAAATATCAATAGTGCCAATATTGAGAAACCCTGGCACTACAGTGTCTTAGGACAAACTATTCATATGGCTTTCTCAGAAAAACATTTCACATAAAGCAGATTAATAGTAAATCTTAATCAATCTTAACTCTGTCACCTGGCAAGAAACCCAGTCATCTTTGATGCCTCACTCTCTCTCACCCCCACAATCAAGGAATTCCCTCTGGTGTACTCTAAAACTTCCTTGCAAGTGCGATATGGTGATAACTGGAGGCAGAGCAGAGTGGTGAGGCGTTCTGAAACCAGGCTGCATAGGTCTAAATCCTGGATTTGGGGGCAAGTCACTTACCTTTCAGCAACTGTTTCCTTATCTACAAAATCAATTTAATAATAGTACATTATGGGATTCTGGAGAGGCTAAATGAGTTAACAGGTGTAAAGCACTTAAGACAGCATCTGGCACATAGTAAATACTCAATAAATATTAGCTATCATTAATTTTATTATTATTAGCTAAAAGTAAGGTACTTTCAAAGATTATCCTCAAGGAGTTAAAGAAAACATTACATTTACTTTATTTTGGGCTACAAAGGAACTGTAAACACATCAAAAACAAATGTTTTAGCCCTAACTGGTTTGGCTCAGTGGATAGAGCCTCGGCCTGTGGACTTCAGGGTCCTGGATTGGATCCACAATGGGGGGCGTGCAGGAGGCAGCCACTCAGTGATTCTCATTATTGATGTTTCTATCTCTTTCTCCCTTCCTCTCTGAAATCAATAAAAATATATTTAAAAAACAAACAAATAAATGCTTTAAATAAAATGTCCTAATTTTTTCTCCTAAACACAATCAAGGTGCCCTGGATATAATCACAGGTCAGCATGACTAGACTGCAATGGCAACAAAGAAAACTTCTGTATAAATAAACAGCACTATAAATGAAAAACAAAGTGTGTTCCTGGAAAGAAGATAGTCTTCCCTTGTGTAAGAGAAGTCCAAAGACACAAAATTCACCAGTGTTGCCAAAACTGTGTCTGAAAAAAAGTTGTTTCTGATCCAAAAAACATACTTTTCCATTGTGGGGAATGGACTTCTCAGATAACTGTAGCTGGATGATACTGGTCAGTAAGGTTATCCAACTCTCCTTATGTCAAAATACTAACTTACTTGATATTTGGTTTTCTATATATAACTGGCTGGAGGAAAAGAATGTGCTAATCACCAAAAATGAATTTCTAGCCTTCCTGATAGTTATATTTCTCAAAGTAAATTAATGATCCAAATGCCACTTTTGTTGCTTAACCAGGATTAATCCCTGCTCTTCTAAAGTACTTTAATTATACTTTAACTGTAGCACTTATTTCAGTTATTCTCTAGTTGTTTACATGTTTATCTCTTCCACCAGACTGAAAGTATCTTAAAATATACTAATAGTCCTAATTCTTTTTTTTTTTTCCAGTTTCCTACTATGGAAATTTAAGTTGATTTTTATTTTTTAGTATTTTTTTTTTTTTTTAAATTTCAGAGGGAAATGGAGAGGGAGAGAGAGATAGAAACATCAGTGATAAGAGAATCATTGATCAGCTGCCTCCTGCACGCCCCTCACTGGGGATGGAGCCCAAAACCCGGGCATGTACCTTGACCCGGGCATGTACCCTGACCAGAATCAAGCCATGACCTCCTGGTTCATAGGTTGATGCTCAAACAGTGAACCATGCCAGCTGGGCTTAAGTTGATTTTTAAATGTATGATGAATAAATGAATGGATGAATAATAATAGCATCATGTGACTATTCCCTTCCTAGTAAAAGACTGAAAAGTACACACAAAGATCATACTTACCTTATTCTTTTCATTTTGAATAACTTCTAATAGCTGGTCTATGTGCCCTTCATCTATGCATCTTTGGCCTGCTAACTGAAATAGGCCAAAATCTTCTTCTTTGAAGTCTTGCTCTTCTAGGATTTGCTGGCAAAAACAAAATAAACAAAACAAAACATGTTCAGGCAAATAAAAATGAAATAACTACTTGATTTATTTTATCTGTGAAAATTCTAGGTAAGTTGCGTAAGTTTCATACGCATATATATGAAAATTATGATTAACCTAATAAATACTCTAATAAATGATCTTGAAATCCTGTGTCAAAAAATCTATAAGGACCAGTATTAAATATTTTAAAGGTTATTTAGAGGAGTATGTCACATGGACAAATAATCCAATCTGCCTTTCTGCCCTCATGCTTTTTCAAAGGTCAAAAAAAGCAAGGATTAAAGAAGATAAACAATTTGAGTGACAGAAAGTGTAATTAAAAATAATCTGTGCCCTTCCCATAGTATTTTGGCAGGTATTTAACTTTGCAAAAAGAAAAAAAAGAAGAAATTACTTACACATCTCTTTATTATGGATTGAAGTTCTTCCACAGCCATTCCTCGCTGTTTTTCCTAGCTCTGATGCTGAAATGTACTAAGAGAAAAGCACACTGTTAACTACCAGAGACATTACATTGAAGTATTAATGTTATATTTCATTCTGATGAATTATTAGTAAGTACAATAAAGAAAAAAGTTTTAAAGCTGAAATTCTTTTATTGAAAGTTAGTTGTATGTTAGCCTAAGAAAATAAAAATCTTTTTTTTTTTAAAACCTCCTGTTGCATCTTTCAGGTTTTCTTAAAAGCATGATTTTGCTTAGAATAGTTCTAAAAGATACAACTGGGGGAAGAAAATCATCTGGAGCACTCCCAAAAGGATCGCAAGTATGGATTATACAATGTGCATTAAAAATGCAAAGTATTTCATTTCTGAAACTATTTCCAAAAGTTGGGCTTGAAATCACTTGTAATCAATAGGGAGTTTTTAATATTTTAATGTCCCCACTTGACAAAAATTGAAGTCAATACCACTCACGCGGCGGTGGGGAAGGTTCGGATGCCCTTCACGCCAAGTGATCGGGCACTTTCCTTACGAGGTGCAGCCCCCCAAACAACGAATCCAGCCCGTGGACTCGGGGGACCCCCGCCCCGTTCCCACAGCCCATCCTTCCTCCCGGCGTGGAAGCCCGGCCCCAGCCCCGCAGCGGGGCGGCTAAACCCCAATGCGCGTGCGGGCGGCATCCCAAGGGAAGCCATTTCTCCCGATTGTCAATCGCCCCGGCGTTCGGGCCCCACCACTTCGCCGGGCCTCATCCGCCCGTCGCGCCGCATCCCCGCGCCCCAAGTCTGCCGCGGGCCCGGGCCGCCGAGGACCTCCGCGCTGCGCCCACTTACGGCCGGGCCTCTCGCTCCTAC